CTACATGCTGTCCCTAAAGGCTAGTGTTCCCGAAGGCTAACAAAAAGCTGTTCTGAAGGTTTGGATGCATTCTCTGTGTTTCCTATTACTTATTATCTATCTGGGTCATGTTGGGAGACCCCTTAAACTCTCTGAATGTCATTATCTGTAAAATGGGGGTCATTGCCCTTATTTTGCCCACCAAACAGTAGTCAAATGAAATAAGAGTATGTGAGAACTCTTTGAAAATTCTAAAGCACCATGAAAATCTAAAGTATTATTACCACTTTTTTGTCCAACTCCTATTACTGAAGTGGAAGAATGAAAATATCCTCTCTTGCTTTCCTCCCTTTTGAACTGAGTATCCTCTTGACAGAACTTACAGTAAGAGTAGATGGCATTAAACCTTTTATCACTTGTTCAGGAGCCAAGCTCTAATATTTTTGTTTGGATCCTGTTTGCACTGAAATGCATTATCTTTTCCCTTTGTGCATTTACCTCTCATGGGAAGAAAACAAGTCACTTGTAGACTTGGGATCTGTAAGCGTAAAATATGCCTTTCTTGTCTGCTCAGATATAGAGAATCCAAAAACATGAAACTTGAGATGTTTCTTCAGTGTGCTATGGGCTTTGAGGTGAAGAATTTGCAAAAGACCAATATTCCCCCCAAACAAAAATCTGTGTATCTGAAAATGCTTTTGTGCTATAAGAAATCTTCCTAATTTATCTACACAGTATGCATAGTAAGTATGGAGTGATATTCACAAACCATACAGAAGAATCCATTTCACTATACCTGTCCCTTTCTAGGTGTGTGTCCATATTAATACCATTCTTAGTGCAGTGACCAGCATCTTTATAAAAAGGGGAAATTTGAAGAATGACATACAGGAAAGATAAAACATGTGAAGGGGGAGGTGGAGATCAGGGTAATGGTTCTACAAGCCAAAGAATGACAGGTTGGCCATCAGCCCACCAGAAGCTAGGCAAGAAGGGTGAACAGATTTTCCCTCTCAGTCTTCAGGAGGAACCAACCCTGCTAAGACCCTTCACTTAGAACTGCTGGCCTCCAGAAACTTGAGACAATAAATTTCTGTTGGTCAAGTCACCCGGTTTGTCGTGCTTTGTTAACAGCAGCCTTAGCAAAGTAATACATCCACACTGGAAATGTGGATAATACATCCACATCCACACTGGAAAATGAGTGAGAGCAGCCAGACATATTCAAGGGGGCAACAACATAGGCAGGCATACAAAGAACATTGTCCTGTTCCTTTCTCTCACTGAAAGCCCACTGACCCTCCCAGGCTGCTCCAAAAGCCATTTCCACCACAAAGACTTCTGTTCAGAAATAGTTGCTTCTCCTTTTGTGCTCACAATGTAGGCAAGCATATGTCCCGCGTTCACCCTTTCCCTCTAACATTCATTCTGCGAGTGAAGCTAGATTATCTCACTTAAAATCACCCTTGTATCCTAGTTAAGTGTTCACCCCTGTCCCTTACCCATTCAATTCTGAGGATTTTGAGAGCCCAGGATGTCTTATACACTGGGGTGTTTCAGTTCCACCCCCTACCAGCTAACGAGGAATGCAGTGCTAGCCTGGGGCATACAGTGGATGTTCAGTAAATATTTGAGTATTCAAACTGATTTTCCCATCACTACTTCTTCATCTTAACTGCAATGTGAAAGAACCTTTCAGAGAGGGAGGAACTAGACCTAGTTGGATGACCAAAGGTAAGTACCTAAAATACTCTTTTCTGTTGTTGAGGTTTGTGGAAAGGGAACTGGTGGTCAAAAAGCTGCTGGGGGATAATAGGGGGCTCAAGGCTCAGAGGCCAGCAAACGAATGTTGTCCAGTTGAGGTAGAGGATGGGAGAACAATTCAGGGCTGGAGGTCTGAAGGCTGGTCAGGGTTGGAATCCTGGGTACCACAATGAGAAGGAAGGTCAGGTTACGGAGCCCAAACAGATTGGAGCTGGGGATTGTCTGGGCGTGGGGTAGGTTGGGAGGGAAATGATAGGGGAACCAAGGGGTGTCCAGCTACCAGTGGGAGCTGGAACTGGGACTACAGCAGGAGTGAACCTGAGCACTGGGTCCAAGTGGGTTTGATAACAGTATCTTTCAAAAGTCAGCACATGTGATAAATACAAATGAATGTATTTGAACATTAGTGCAGAATATTTGAAAATGGACCGATTCAAGAAGATGTACCATATGTGGTTGCTGTGGTTACAGAAATGATGATTAGAATAAGTCTGAGGTGATGGTCTTTTCTTTCTTTTAGTTTTTGTCATCTTTTCATATGTCCCGCGTTCACCCTTTCCCTCTAACATTCATTCTGCGAGTGAAGCTAGATTATCTCACTTAAAATCACCCTTGTATCCTAGTTAAGTGTTCACCCCTGTCCCTTACCCATTCAATTTTGAGGATTTTGAGAGCCCAGGATGTCTTATACACTGGGGTGTTTCAGTTCCACCCCCTACCAGCTAACGAGGAATGCAGTGCTAGCCTGGGGCATACAGTGGATGTTCAGTAAATATTTGAGTATTCAAACTGATTTTCCCATCACTACTTCTTCATCTTAACTGCAATGTGAAAGAACCTTTCAGAGAGGGAGGAACTAGACCTAGTTGGATGACCAAAGGTAAGTACCTAAAATACTCTTTTCTGTTGTTGAGGTTTGTGGAAAGGGAACTGGTGGTCAAAAAGCTGCTGGGGGATAATAGGGGGTTCAAGGCTCAGAGGCCAGCAAACGAATGTTGTCCAGTTGAGGTAGAGGATGGGAGAACAATTCAGGGCTGGAGGTCTGAAGGCTGGTCAGGGTTGGAATCCTGGGTACCACAGTGAGAAGGAAGGTCAGGTTATGGAGCCCAAACAGATTGGAGCTGGGGATTGTCTGGGCGTGGGGTAGGTTGGGAGGGAAATGATAGGGGAACCAAGGGGTGTCCAGCTACCAGTGGGAGCTGGAACTGGGACTACAGCAGGAGTGAACCTGAGCACTGGGTCCAAGTGGGTTTGATAACAGTATCTTTCAAAAGTCAGCACATGTGATAAATACAAATGAATGTATTTGAACATTAGTGCAGAATATTTGAAAATGGACCGATTCAAGAAGATGTACCATATGTGGTTGCTGTGGTTACAGAAATGATGATTAGAATAAGTCTGAGGTGATGGTCTTTTCTTTCTTTTAGTTTTTGTCATCTTTTCTCCTTGTCTGAATAGTGAACTGAAATACATTTTTATTATTATATTTTTGTCTTAAGAGTAGGAGAATTGATTTTCTATTTCTGAAAATGTTGATTAAATTATTGGTTGTCTATAGCCCTCAATGGAGTTTTCCCCCCATTGCTTAAAATTTCCCCTCCTGCTTTAAGATCTCCTTATAAGAAAATGTAAATTCCCCTTTTTTCATTTCACAAGACCAAGAGTATTGTTCCTTTGCTTGGGGATACCCTATATCTCTTTTAAAGGCTTTTGGAATTTTGCTCATCTTTTCCTATTCTTATAACAGCTATATGAATTGGACTTGCAAAAGCATTTTTTTCATTGGATACTTAGATTTAGCATAAGAATATTCATATCACTGATCCCTTAAGTTTAAATTAACTTCAACATATTTTTATTTTTAGACATGCTAGTTATCAAGGGAGATTCCCAGCTGGTACAGTAGTAAATAATCTACCTGCCAATGTAGGAGATACAGGTTTGATCCTTGGGTCCGGAAGATCCCCTGGAGGAGGAAATGGCAACCCATTCCATTTCTTGCCTGTAGAATCCTCTGGACAGATGAGCCTGGTGGACTACAGATCCATGCAATCACAAAGAGTTGGACACGACTTAGCAGCTGAACACCAACAAATTATCAAGGGTAGGGAATGCAGCAATAGAATGTGTACAGTTCAGCTGCAAAGTACAAGAGACTGCCCCAGTAATTGGGACATTTTCTCAAATTAATTGTAAAGTAGGCTAACCACAAAAATAAATTATCTAGCAGTATAACTGTCTCTCACATTATGTCTTCAAGTGTGTAGAACATAGGTTACATTTTTCAAAATTTCTGCTATGGTGTATTCACTGGCTTTTACGTATGTCTCAATTGCGCATCTACTGGAAGTGGGCTATCTTTCCTCCCGTGTGGACCTCCAAAATTCTGTCTACAAGCAGTGTTCCTGTAATCTTCCAGGAGCTGCCAAGCTTTTAGCATGTAAAATGAGATGCACTTACCTTATTGAAAGAAAAAAAGCCAACAAACTTGCAACTCTTTTTTAAAGTGATGAATCTTGGCCTTTATAATACATAGCAGATTGAGAACATTTTTTGTTGCCCCCTGTTTTTGGTAAGTGAACAGTTAAGGATCCATCTGTGAACCATTAGAAGTTGTATATTTACTTCAGTTTACTTATTCTTAAATTCCCTTTGACCCTTACTCTAAAGTCTGTTTCCTTTTATGTGGATTTTAAGAATATGTTCAAAGATAATCTTTTAAACTGCCATAAGCTTAAATTGATTGATATGTTTAAAATATGGCCTTTAGCTATAAAGGGAAAGGGAATTTGTATTGTGAGCTATAGCATAGTTGACGTGTCAGAGGAGCTCAACAGAGAGGTGACAGAATACAGTGGTTAAGCAACTTAAGCCTGGGTTCGAATCCCACCTCTGCTACTTACTAGCTGTGTGACCTGGGATAAATTATTTAATCTCTCTGCGCTTCAGTTTCTTCTTTAATGAAACTGTGGTGTTTCAGTGGGTGGTAGCTTGTGATTGATTACCTTAAGGTTTATGATGTTAAATTAGTGTTTATAAAATAATGAGAACAGTATGGGCTTCCCAGGTGGCTCAGTGGTAAAGAATTTGCCTGCCAAACAAGAGGAGCAGGTTCAGTCTGTAGGTCAGGAAGATCCCCTGGAGAAGGACCTGGCAACCCACTCCAGTATTCTTGCCTAAAGAATTCCACGGATAGAGGGGCTTGGTTGGGTCACAAAGGATTCAGACATGACTTAGCAACTAAACAACTTCAACAGCCTAGATTGTAGTAGGTTAAAATAAGCGTTAAGTAAAATTCTTCTCATAACTAGCAAAATATTTTTGACGAAATTTCAGCTGCGCATTTCTTTGGGTAAGTGTTACATTTATGTGGGTCCTTATGAAGAACTCTGAATCATGCCCCAGAGTCTGGTCAGTAGGAGATTATGAAAATAACTAAACCCATTTATTCTGAAGAGCTCTTTACATTCCCCACATCAGGTCAGACAGGGGCCAGCTGCTGCCGAGCCTTGCTGCTAGAGGTTTCCGGGTATTGCTCTGAATGGTGGGGGGAGACTCTGAATGAGGGGCAGTAGGAGGAGGAGATTTCATTTCTGCTTTTGTGACTCAGGAGTGAATCAGGGCATCAAGCAGTACTTCCCCTGAAGTCCTGTGATGTTGTTGGTATGTGTGAATATGTGGTGGGAAGGTGGATATGAGAAAAAGAGCTACTTCTGAAAAATAGCAGACAACACAACACAGAACTACACATTCAGCTATAAGGATAATCAGCAAGTTTGAGAAGCATGATAGGTTTAACAAAGAATTAATATTAGTTTTGATGTTAAATTGGTAGCTCTCGTCTTGGATAATATTAGCAAAATCTCTCACTCCACTGGATTTAACGGGCTAGTAGGGCTGACTGTTTGGGAATCCGCAGCTCCACAGTCCACGATGACCACTTAGGGGGCGGGGGATGGGGCACAAATAGCATCAGCTACCCATGACAGTAAGATAGACCTGATAGGCTATGTGAATTCACTTCAGTTTATTTTCCTTAGCAAAACTCAATTTAATATACTCATTCTAGCACGTATTCTTGTAACAATGGAGCACCTCATAAGAACACAATAATATTTATTAGTCTCAGCATTGATATTTTGCCTCACTTGTAACTGCAACTTGATTAGTGCTTTCTTCTCTATAGTACTATAAAAAAAAATAAGGCTTATTTTGGAAATAATGATTAATGACTGGCATTGTAAAAATGTTTCATATCAAGTTAAAAATCCGATTTCATTCTACATGCCATTTTAGTTTCATAAACAATTGGGAATCTATCATTTAAATATTATCCTCGAAATAACCTGAATCTGAAAGTATGACTTGCTACTTATGACACTATTTAAAGGATTCATTCTATAAATCCTAGTTATAGGATGACTTGCAAAAAGCATTTAAAAGTTATTCTCAAGTATCTTCTTTGTATTTAACTGTTAATCTACTATATTATGACAAGAAGTATCTTCTGGCTTTTTTTTATTATGGAAAATCTCAAAGATGCACTAAATAGAATAATATAATGAAGAATTTCCTCTACCTTTCAACAATTATCAATCCGCTACTAATTATTCTTCATCTAATGACTTACCTATATCCCTTTCACCTCCATATTATTTTGAAGAAAATCCCGGATACCATGTAAATTCATCTGTAAATATTTCTATATGTTTTTCTAAAACAAACACTACTTCTTAATATTATCACAATACCATACCCCTTCAAATCTACAATAATTCCTATATTACCATCTTCGCAGTATTTCTTTTTTAAAAGAAAACTTCTTATTAAAGAAATCAAGTTTGTCCTGTAGTCCTATGGAGTCTCCCTTGGTCAGTGTATCATTGATTTTATCCCCATGGTGTCGTTTAACATACTCTTCTATTCGTTGTACTGGTTGGTAGTTACATCTAGATTGATCGGATATAGGTTATTTATTTATTTTTTGGGGGGGAAGACTATTTCATAGGCAGTATTGTTTATTTAGGTAAATACCTAAACATGTAGTATCTAGTGTTTTTCTTTGTTGGGTATTAGTAGCCACTGATGATCAATGTCTTAGATTCATTATTTCACTAGAAGCTGTAAAGAAGTAGGATTTTTTTATTAATTTTTATTGGGGTTTAGTGTCTTTACAATGTTGTGTTTGTGTTCTACAGGATTTTAATTATATTATTCCTTCCTCAGTGACTAGTTGAACTGCTCTTATAAGAAAAGATTCCCTCATCAATTTTTTTATTTCCCTGAGGTAAAGTTCCTAAAATAAAGGCAGGATAAATATTCATTTTTTTAAATGTAGCACTTTTAATAAAGTGTTTGTGAAAGAGGCACTGTGAAGAATTGTGAATTTTTTGGAATTCGTTGATTTAAAGATATTGGACATGTTTCAGTGCATTGCAGTTATTATCCTTATTGATAATAAAGATAATATTGATATTGTTTCATCTTTGACAAGTGAGGGATTATCACTTGTTGGTTCCCGAGTCCATTTTTAGTAAGACTCAGTAGTTACTGATAGCTTCTAGTGTGATAACAGTGCCATCAACAATATGATTACTAAAAATTATATTTTGACAATTTTTTGTCCTACTAGCATACCCACTCGGAATGTATAGTCAAATTATTGGGCTATAAGATCACATGGAATAGCTCCTCAAAGAGAATTAGGCTTTGGAGTGAGTGCACATTAGGTTAGCTTGTTTTATTGTGCATTAAATTTTAAGGGGTTGATTTTATAATGCTTAATTTTCTTTTATAATTATGTGAAATGTGTATAAATACCAAATAAGGTGTATGCAGTGATTCTAGCTTCCTCCTCTATACCTTCTATCTATTTCCTCTTCCTATATATAACTATTTATATTTTAAAAGAATTTTTAATTTAAAAATTAGCTCTCATGGTAAACAATAAAATTAGCTAATTTGTATCACTTGATGGCTTCTGAAGAAGTAACACTACACATTGTATCACATGTAAAAGCCACCATGTACATGATATAAACTATTTTCCTTCACCTCAAAAAGTTTGTTTGTATCTCTTTGCAGTTATTCCATTTTTCCTGCTTCTGGTCCATGGTGACCATTGATGTGCTTTCTGTCACTATAGTTTGTCTTTTCTAGAATTTTATATAAGTGGAATCATACAAGACAACACAATTTTAAAATGAGCAGAGGAGCTGAATTGACATTTTTCCAAAGAGGAAATGCAGATGGTCAACAGGCAATATGAAAAGATACAGCACTGTGAAGAATTGTGAATTTTTTGGAATTCGTTGATTTAAAGATATTGGACATGTTTCAGTGCATTGCAGTTATTATCCTTATTGATAATAAAGATAATATTGATATTGTTTCATCTTTGACAAGTGAGGGATTATCACTTGTTGGTTCCCGAGTCCATTTTTAGTAAGACTCAGTAGTTACTGATAGCTTCTAGTGTGATAACACTGCCATCAACAATATGATTACTAAAAATTATATTTTGACAATTTTTTGTCCTACTAGCATACCCACTCGGAATGTATAGTCAAATTATTGGGCTATAAGATCACATGGAATAGCTCCTCAAAGAGAATTAGGCTTTGGAGTGAGTGCACATTAGGTTAGCTTGTTTTATTGTGCATTAAATTTTAAGGGGTTGATTTTATAATGCTTAATTTTCTTTTATAATTATGTGAAATGTGTATAAATACCAAATAAGGTGTATGCAGTGATTCTAGCTTCCTCCTCTATACCTTCTATCTATTTCCTCTTCCTATATATAACTATTTATATTTTAAAAGAATTTTTAATTTAAAAATTAGCTCTCATGGTAAACAATAAAATTAGCTAATTTGTATCACTTGATGGCTTCGGAAGAAGTAACACTACACATTGTATCACATGTAAAAGCCACCATGTACATGATATAAACTATTTTCCTTCACCTCAAAAAGTTTGTTTATATCTCTTTGCAGTTATTCCATTTTTCCTGCTTCTGGTCCATGGTGACCATTGATGTGCTTTCTGTCACTATAGTTTGTCTTTTCTAGAATTTTATATAAGTGGAATCATACAAGACAACACAATTTTAAAATGAGCAGAGGAGCTGAATTGACATTTTTCCAAAGAGGAAATGCAGATGGTCAACAGGCAATATGAAAAGATACGCAACATCGTTAATTATCAGGAAAATGCAAATCAAAACCACAAATGAGAGATCACCTCATACTTGTCAGAATGGCTATCATCAAAAAAGAATACAAATAACAAATGTTGGCAAGGTTGTGAAGAAAAAGGAACCCTTGTACACTAAATTGTAAATTGGGAATGTAAATTGGTGCAGCCACTGTGGAAAACAGTATGGTGGTCTCTCAAAAACTAAAATGAGAACTACCATATCACCCAGCAGTGCTACTCCTGGGTATACAGCTGGAAAAAAAAATCACACTAATTCAAAAAGATATTTGCACCCAAAGTTTCCAGCAGCATTATTGACAGTTGCCAAGATATGGAAACAACCTATGGATAAAGAAGTTGTGGTATTATATAGACAATGGACTACCACTTGGTCATAAAAAAGAATGAAATCTTGCCATTTGCAGCAACATGGATGGACTAGGAGGGCATGATGCTAAGTGAAGCAAGTCAGATAAAGACATGACATTAAATTACCTGTTCATGAAAAAGTGACCCTTGACTTGTTCATCCACCACATGATGTGTTGTGAAAAGGAAGGTATAAGAGGACTTGGTGATCTTGCCAGACCAAAGGTCAGGAAACATTTTCAAAGGGCCAGATTGTAATGTCTCAGGCTTGCAGAGACTGTGTGTATGATCTGTGTCACAGTTATTCAGTTCTCCTGTTACAGCAGGAGGGCAGCCATAGACGATATGGAAACAAATGAGCACGCCTCTGTTCCAAGAATCTTATCTACAAAAACAGGTGGCAATCTGGATTTGGCCCATGTGCCATGGTTTGCCTCTCCCTGAACTAAAAGATTGGGATTGGAGGGAAGATGGGATGTTAGAAACACAGAAGAGTCTAGGAAGTATAGGGGAAAAGTCAAAGCAGCACAATCCCTATTTTAGCATCCTCAAAGAGCAAACACTTCTAGCGTGGTGGTCCCCACTGTGTAAGTTTACAGAAATAGTATGTAAATCTTAGATCAGAATCCTTCTGACCTTTTATATTGAAAAACATGAGTTGTAGGAATCAGAAAAGAATGCTGATCTCATTTTGCCTTGCCCAAGTGGGAGCAGGAAAAGCTAAGTCTTCCAGAAACTTGGGTAATCTTAACCCAGTTACAAGCAGGCACCACCCTGTGCTGGAACT